ACAACCAATGATGTACCTTTAAATAACGTTCGAGAAAAGTAGTTCTTATGACAATGGAAAAAGGTTGAGTTTAAATACATCACTCTACGAATGAAAAGATCTACGGAAACTCAAATGATTGTATTGTTTTGTAATATAACTAACTACTGTATGATAAATTATCACAGTAATGTGGATTAGTCAATGCTATTGCGACATCTTAAACAATTCGCAGTCGATCATCTCATTGCAATTTTTTTATTGTGGGTTAAGATTTAATAACTGATAAATATGACATTGTTTCTTATTACACTTTTATATCTCTATTTCTGTTAATATTTTAATACAATTCATTATTACTAATAAGCTACCAACCTAAATACCAATGCGAATTTTCAGGATGCAAACTAGACACACTATTATACAAATTTTACATCTTTAGTAATAATATACAAAATACTCGTACCTAAGATACTTTTTGCCACTATATGTTTATATATATATATATATATATATATATATATATATATATATATATATATATATATATATATATATATATATATATATATATATATATATATATATATATATATATATGTCCGTCCGTCTCTCACAGCGGTATATCTCAGTAATTATAAATGCTATGAATTTGAAATTTATAATACTCGTAGTTTTATATATCATTGGTCAATACATATTGCAATGGAAATATTTTTTTTTTTAAGAATTCCAAAACGGATAGTGAACATTTCAGAATTAACCTACTAGTCCAAGTGTGGTATCATATGAAAGGACTGCATGTGTTTACATTTTAAAACTGATTTATTTTTGTTTTTATGCTACCTAGTTTTTTAGTTATGTACCAAAATGTGAGAAAAAAACCATTCACCTTATCTCCAAAGTTTATAAAGCAAAAATTCTGAAATAATTACAGTTCATATAGGAATCTTACAGCAAAAATAAAACGATGTTTCTAACTAGAATTGTTTTTGAGTATTTATCAAAAACCCTTCAAAAACAAACTTAATTTAAAGGTCTATCTACATTTACGACCTACTTATACAAGAAATACTATTGTAATTTAAATAACAATAATTATTAGGTTTCCATTTCATACAAAAATACAATAAGGAAGTCATTTATATCAAATAATATTAATTACATATATATAATTTTTCAATCATTTTTAGTGCTATATTTGTATACAGAATTGTTAAAAATATAGATTATAAAAATATAAATATTCTAATACTATTTTAAATAGTTTCTTTTTGTTATGTACCATACCGATTGATTTATTATGGTAATTGCAACTATTTCATACTTTGGTACAAAACAAATACCTTTTTTAATGAAATTTTATGTACGGAACCATCGGATTAAATTTAACTCACACTTGACCGGATTTTTTTTAGTTTATACTAATACCACCATGCTCATACGCATTTATATTAAATGGTAATCAATATGCTGCTTCTCAATATCCCCTAAAATCCAACCTCACAAACAGGACATAGTCTTATATATAGTTATATAATTATTTATTTTTTACTTCTTAACTCTAATAAAATAACGCAGCCTATTCTGCTTAGTTTTTTGACTTCTTGTTGGAACTTTATTATACATATTATATAATATTAATTGAATGACATATACTTAGTTTCACTGTTTTATTGATTAGTATTGTAATATTTTTTTTTTATTGTTTATATACGCCTTGAATTCGCTTGAAATCATCAAGTAGGTATCAAATATTCCACTTGTTCATAATCAATCACTTTTTTCCTTCGGTAAATGTATTATTTGTGAAATAAGATCGGTTAATGTAAAAATAAAAAAGGATGTTCTACGTTTAGTCAAAAAATAGTCACATTGGCAATAACAAATGAAAAGTTTTTTTTTTTTAAATTGATAATTTATGTAACTTTTTTGTGGTTGGCAATAAATGTTTTCTTTCTTTCTTTTTTTCAAAAAAAAATGAAGAGGGGAAAATATTATCAGATAACGGAATAAATACCGAATAAATTTACCAGAGGGAGACTTTGTACAAAAGTCGATTGCTTGGGTACCTCTGTCCCATGCGTGTTTCAACCGTAAAGCAGTTGTATTTACATGGCTGTGTTTCGGTTTGAAGGGTGGGATATGGCGTGAATTTACTGGGTACGGAGGAATAACACCTGAGTTCTCAGGAATGGCAAAGCATGGGGGGTATCATGGGCGAAATAGTATACTCTGTTATGTCGATGGTACTGCTCATGTCTATAGGCGACGGTTACCACTTTCCATCAAATGGGCCGTCAGCTTGTTTGCCATTCTAAGTTGTATAAAATAAATACAAAAAGCGAAAATGAAAGATTACATCTACGTTGTACCCATTGTTTAATTCGATCGCTAATAACCTGCAATCGCTACATAACATACGAGCTTAGTTATAATAAATATACTAATACAAAACTTAATTATAGCATTCACAAAATTTAACAAATACCTTTTTGATTGAACATTAAAATAATATTAAAAAAAAAAACAAACAAAAACGTACAGCTTTCATTCTATATTTGATCCATATTCAAATTTTAAATATTTTCTTCTTCAAATACCTTCTTATTACGCGTAGTAGACTGCATTAAATAGCACTGCAGAAGATCCTCCACCAGTCAACATTGCTATGCGCGTGCACTCACACCGGCACTCACATAACTCAAGCCTTGACCTGCATTGCTAACGAAGCCTGCAGACGAGCACACGATAAACCACTCAGATAAGACTAATAATATTTACAAGCTTAAAATTTCGAAAACATGTACACATCTACAAGTACGCGCCACTAATTAAAATAATTTAATAATATTTCTAACCACGAAAACATGACCGCACAGTGGTATCGATCTTCGGAAACTAAACAAAAATGTAGCTGAATAAACGTTACCTAAGATATAAAGTGGAGCTACAGAAAACAGACTACGTGACGTCCGATGAACTAAACTTAGTACAAAATGACTAATATAGTATAATGATATATACAGCAGTACCCGCAAATACCAAGCACCTGAACAAAATAACTCACAATTACTCAACAGTATAAATATTATTACTACACTAAATTGAGCGATCAAAGCCAAAGTATTTGGCAAGAAATATTTTAAGTGTTCAACTTTGTACACAAATATATCTGGATTTACCAGGTTATGTTGTAAATAACCGATAAGATACTACTAATACTGTTTTATGTAACCTTCTTCCTTATAACATTTGTCGATCGATTTTTCTATTATATTAATGACTTACGTTTATAATTTTTAGAGTAATGAATACTTTCTACTTTAAGCCGTACATTAAATAAATTATAACGAAACACTTTTTTTAAAGAAACAAATTATAATATTTTTATTCTTCTCAATAAAATTCCTTCTTGAAGCTTCGTCATGAAAGCGACTGCGAAGCAAAACCGTCAATCTAACATTAATTGTCTGATATTTCTACTTTGCTCATTTGTGTCACATTAGTTACCACAATTTTGATCGAAGCTTTTACATAATTAACTATGGAGATAAATTTTAAACCCTGAAACTATAAATTTAAGAAACCCAATTTTATATGGCAACATTTATAATGAATTTAAATATATTTAAAATATTTTTTTACTACTATTTTAGCCTTGTTACGTGTTTATGTTATATGCGGAGATAAATCTCGTCATATATACTATGCCGTCATTCTCATTGTTGACATGTTCACACTTAAGTATAACAATTTACGCGAACATGACGATGTAATGAATGAATCAGTAAGATTGATCATAAATACATTTAATCACTAGGTATATACTGAATCATTCAATAGGAAGAATCGGTAACAAATTACCCTAAAAATGGAATCCAAATCAATATGTGTATTAATCATTGTTGTATATTTTCATAGATACATATCGTATCTATCAATTATTACAATCATATGCTTATTTTTTAATAATTACAAGTTTCTTCACATCAAACATATAAATATTTGAAGTGATATTGATTAAGCTAATCAAATTAAAATAAAAAAATATAAGATGTATTATGCTTAAATAAAACTAAATAAAAAATGTAAAGAAACGAATAATTTACACGACTGTATAACTATTGACGTCCAATGGTAATATCATGTACGTTATAATAAGTCTATGTACCATGTAGAATAAACAAACAATCGATTAATCGATTGAATGTTTCAATTTGTTACCAATTTCATTTAAACATTATTTTTGTAATAATTTCAACAAAACTTAGTTATCATTTCATTAATTTTGTCCTATTGAAATCAACTGTAGTATATTTGCTAGTACCTAGGTACCTACTATCAAAAATAATTAATAATAGAAAAAAGAATAAGAATTTGCCACGTAAAAGATATGGAGTTCTTTAAATAAGATAACATTTTCTTCATAATTTTATAATATATAATACACCTACCCCCTTATTAATAAACATATGAAACATCTCGTAAACCTATTTTTGCTATTGAAGCGTTTGTTTTTTTCTTTTCCACTAAGTTCCCAATTTAAAAGAACGTCACAAAATACTGTAATAGTTAAAATAGGTTTGTAGAAGGATTTAATTTTTATGAATAAAGGGGCTAATCTATGGAGAAAGACTGGCAAGTAATCAATTGATATGCCCGCACATAATACAAATATATCCACGGAAGTTAAGCTAGTCTATTGAAGAAAGTTAGTCTAAGGTAAAAAATAATTAACAAATAGATAATATATTATACAGAAAATTCTTTTAGAGTTAAGCTCGCCTTTGTACATTTAATTACCTCTGTCATATTCTTCTTTATAATTAATGTGTACAATATAGTATTAAATAAATAAATAATATTTTTTTAATTAGGAAACTGTGTTATATATTTAACTAACGTAGCAATTTTAAGAAGGTTATGGTAACATGAGATATAGCTAAATTATAAAAGTAACAAGATTGAGAAAATAAAGAATCCGTGTTTCTAGCAGAGTCGTCAGGCCTACAACTTACCTTGACATACCAGCGAGTTTGCGATTTACGGTGCCTGGGGCGGCGGCGCTCGGCGCTGCGCTGGTCGGCGCGCGCCGGCGAGCGCAGCGCGTGGCAGCGCGCCGCCAGCGCCTTCGTGCGCTCCGCCAGCGAGTGCCGCAGCTCACCCCCCGCGCACCCCCGCACCAGCATCACTCCTCAACCAACCTCCACTTCTTTATCCACACTACTATCTCCCCCAACATCACGACTCATGGTTACTTTATCCCAATATATTACGCACTAAATTGACATATAGATTACATATACAGTTGAGGTACGCATGGAGGAACACCTAATATTCTCCATTTCAGTAAATCAATGCCAAATACGAATGATATTAATTTTAATATAACGTAAACTATGTGTATAACGTTCTTAATTTTCATTATCTCAACGGCGGAGCGGCGTTTAAGCTACCCGAGACATGATTAAAAGTAGTTGTGATGAAGCGGCCAAGGTCTAGGTCGGGAAAGGTCGTGCTATTTATAATTCCACATGAACAAATCGCGATATTTATGGACCATTTACAATTGAATCTTATAACAAATAGATTGTTCAATAAACACATGGTACCTATTCTAATAAAAATTGTAAATAATATAACTAATTAGTAGCTTGTTTAAATCGCTTGTAAAAATGTTGTTAAAAGTACCCATCTATATTGTATGAAAATAAAAACTCTAAGACCATGCTTACGGAATATACCAAAATATCTATGAATTTATACTATTTCCTTTTTCCTTCTTAAAAAAGTTGACTATCAAAGAAAGAAAGTAAAATACGAGTATATAGGAAATGATTCAACTAAACAGCGCCCTTATCTTGCTTACTTGATAAGTTACTGTATATAATCATAAAAGATACTTAGATAAGTAGAAGTGACGTGGATATCTGAAGGAGATTAGACGAACTTGGCAATACAAAAAGATATCGAATATATACACAGGTAATAAGGTAAAGGTAAAATAAAGGTGATACAGAAATCTCGTATGTGGGAAAATTTAACTGCCTGCTTGTAAACTCCTCATGTTAAATAGAGTAAAATTTTAATATTTAATCGAAATTATTCATATCCTTTCAAATAAACATTCGACAATAATATGACAAAAAAACTGACAAAGTCCGCCCAACTATCAAATAAGTTTGAGAATCTTTATATTTTCATGTGACAAAAACATAGTAGATATTTAGCATGGGGAAATATATACAGAATTGCTCGGTGTCTTCGTAAATTAATTATATCCCGGTCACATAGACAAAGTGGCGAGCCTGCGTTTGCGGCTTTACTAACTGTTTAGTTACATATAACTAGATTCTGAATTTGTACAATTATAGATCTCTTAGTAGCAGTGCCTGATTGCGTAATAGTAATGAATAGTCGTATACTAGGTCGATATCTGACAAGGAAATTGGATAATTGAGGAAGGGAGCGGTCGACGACGACGCGAGTTATGCCCTATTACTCCAATCCTACACATACGTCCACACAAGAATATAAATATCCTTCCCAAATATAATTACCGAGGAAATATCGTAAAATAAGTGTATAAGGAAGCAATTCGAGTTTCATTACAATTTCTTAGAATAAACCCATGAGTACAATTGGTCTTATTCGTACATATTATTTATCTAATTTCTTAATATCTTGTCAAGATATTTAATTCTTATTACTAAAAAATACATATCATTTTTGCATTATTTTGTATGCGTGAATGTCAGATGTAGAACAACTAATAAAACAGATCACTTCTAGATAACGTATCAAGATTAAACATATTTTAGATTTTAAATTAGACCTTCAGGAACACAACTGTGTGAAAACCGCATACAATTTGGTGGAGAAGTTTTTGCGTGATGCTGGAACAAACATATAGACGAACAGACAAAATAAAAACAAAAATTTTGCTCTAAAACATCTAATATATTTTGATCACTCATATACAAGCATCATTTAGTTATAGTTTCATACATTAGTAAAATAAGATGTGAAAATTACTTTGTTTGTTATGTCCGGCGGAACTAAACGCCATGAAATTTACCTGTATTTTATTCAAATAACATGGTCCAAATTGCAGTTAAAGTCAGTATTAAATACATAATTATCAGATATCTAATATACGTACATATATTACATCATTGTATGATGCATACATGTGCATATTAAATATATTTAATTTTTTTAGAAAATCATTGTATTTGTTTTAGAATCCCCTATATTAAATTCATATTATACTATAAATTTTATAAAATATTTTAGCATTATTCTAAATTATATTTGAAATATATCTAAGTCTGTTCCTCAATTTTGTTCGTTCGTCATTTGACTGTTGTGAGTAATACCAGGAAATAATAGTTATCTTATGATTTTGATTTTGTTTCGCGATTTTCGCTCTTATTCTGAAAGAAAGGACGACTTCCTATTAAATTTGTATAGCGACAGGTGGTCAGCGACAGGCAATCGTCAGGTGTGCCACACAATAAGCCCAAAAGCTGTTTTATACGCTACCTACCTACCTACCTATCACAAAATTCCGCTCAATAATGAAATCCGAAGGCTTCCAAAGATAGGAGCCATCTCTTCCAAATTGCTTCGTATTCGTGATGCTATTATACGTATTAGGTATTCAATAGAGAGATTGGACATGTATCATTACTTGGCTATGAATTTGACATCTTTATTATTATTATTTTTTTTTGTAAATGTGTAAATAATGTGTAATACAAATGATACATCACGTAGCTATACAAATTAATCCACATACAAATGTATTACCACATAAATACATTAGCCTCCTGATTTGGTCTCTGTTTATATATTTATAAAAATCCCCTGTCACTATATTTGTTAACACTAGTCTCCGTAAACGCTTAATCAATTTTAATTAATTTTAAAAATGTGTATTGTTTACTTCAACTTAGTAACAATAAATTTCACCCCGAAAAGGTAAAAAATTGCCTTGTAGGTGGCGGCAAGTCGTTTAAAATAACATTTGCCGGGTCTGCCAGTAGATTAATAAGTAGCTTAACTTTGTTTCCTTTTTTGTTTCTATTATTGTGAAAATATATTATGTTACGAAATATATTTCTACAGACGATTTTTACTTTAAATCAATTTAAGTACAGGCACCAGCACATTTATACCCTATAATGAACATAGGCTAGGAGTCAAGCAAATAAAATTGCAGGCATAGTTGCTCATAAATTATTTCTATCATAAAAATACTAAATTAGACTTATACCTAAAACATAATATGAAGTAAGTACCGATAAAATATAGAAAGGATTCATACTAATTATTTTTTTATTACATAGCTTTACTGTTATATTAATTATATGTATTCGGCATTGACTACATTCATATGTACATACCTAAGACTTTATAACCTGTACACTATATATTTACAATGCAAATTACTACAATGTGCAAACAGTATAATTATTATACATATATATCACTTAACGCAATGACCAATATAAGTTCACTTTAAACTTAACAAAACACACTCATTGAATAGAACAAAATTAAAAAAAAAATTAAAAACCATCAAAGTTTACGAAACACACTGTCAATAAATCGAAATGAAATGCAAGGAAATAATCGTTTAGAACGCGTTGACAAGCCCTTCCGCGCTGTATGGCCGGCGCGCGTCGTCTGAGCTGAGCGTACACTGTACTTGTATACGTACAGCAACGTCGGCTGACGAACACCATAACAGAGGACTGACGAGACAAGGAATCTACGCATGTGCGGGTTTTCCTGAGTTTTCCAACAACGACGTCACTACTTTTAGCTACGTCATAGCTATCATACCAGAATACTTTTAATAGTAGACATTACAAATACCGTCCATACTATTTATAACCATAAAAATATAGGAATATATGAATATAGACACTGATAGATTTCAAATTATATTTTATCAAATAATAAAAGTAATAATAATAAAATATAATAATATATTTTTTGTATATTCTATTGAAATACATTATCCCAATATTAAAATATTTTAATGTAATAACAACAGAGCGCGACAGAAGCTAAAGATGGCGTGGCTCGCGTTACAGCCGCTAATGACCAAGGTCCTCCTATTTTTTTTTATTTTACTTTTATGAAATTTTATATATATAAATGCAATATACAAAGCGACTGTTAAAAAGTTGACCCTTCTCTCGGTTTTGCGTTCTAAAATAAAAACAATATAATGAAATAAAATAAAAAATATGACAGTTTTATAACAAACTTTAAATCCTTTCAGTGTTTAAATAGGCACGTTTGGTTAATGCATCTCATAGTAAAAATTAAAAACTCTCTAAGCAAATTTTTTTCCACCTCACTCATCCTCGTCTTGATTCAAGATTCCACTCTTATATATCATAAATAAGAACCAAAATTGAAGGTAAATCATAAAATAATTATATATATATATTTATTGTCATTCATTAAAAAAACATAACTAGGAAGAAAAATGACAGACGTAAACAGAACCGTATATATAATTCTATGGTTTATAAGACTAAAGAATTAAAGTGATAACTTAAGTAAAATAATTATTTACCTAGGGTTATCATGACATTTTGGTCAAATTATACCGCCCGTGGTCATGAGCCAACTGATATAGATATCACGACTCTGCTCTCGATTTTCTTCTACATATTCACTATCACACATCCCATTGATTATATTCATTTTAAGTGACAAAACTCCACGACGTGAAACCTAGTAAAAAATCTCAGCTATTTGTAAAAAAGTCCAAAAACGTCCCAATATTGAGCACGGGTTGAATAAGTGATACATACATTTCAAAGTAGTTAAATTTTTTAGTACCTATAATGTATGTTAGCTGACCCGACAGTCGCTATGCTGTGTAAATTTCAAATAGACTTGCATACATTTTCAGTCCCTTTACTGTTCCGTTGTTGACACTAATAAAATTTCTATGAAGTCCTATAATAGAATCGTATGCAACCTACTTTGGCATCATGATGTATCTAATTTAAAAACTTAATAAACAAAACAAAAATAATCAATCAGATGTGCCCTTCCTAAGGCTATCGAGAATACGAAATAAAAAAATATTATCTCTTTTGCCGATTTTTCGGACAACTTTTAATTGAACTAAATACGAATATTTTAAAACATAGGTTGATTACAATCAGTCATTCTCAAATGGTACATACCAATAATCAACATCTTATTTTAAGCGGCTTCCACTAAGAGAACGTTCTCAATTTGTTTGTAATTTTTATGCTTGATTTTAATGATTATGCAATTACATCGTCAATTTTAAACCGATTTTGATAATTCTTTTAGCAATTTATAGAGTTTACTTCAATTACTAGCATAGTACTCGTATTATATAATATTATAATATCTGTGCTCTCGTTTTGGTTTTATATTATTTCTGTAATGTTGAAGCTATCGTTTTTCTTCGCAGAGCAAAATACTGGTACTTAGTGGAGAAGCAAATTCTACTCGTGGACACACGATAAAATTATTTCAATTGTAACAAAATTAATATGAGAGCAAACTATTATAGAAATAATTATTTAAGATTGTGTTTCACAGATAAAAACCGACTTTAACTGTGACAAAACCAGTTATTCTGATTTTAAAACTAAACTATTCAACCAAAAATTAATTAATAAGTAAATATATCCTTTCAGATAAAAAAAAAGAGTTTTCCAAATCGATTTATAACTGACGGGGCTATGAGATAACAACCATAACAATTACAACCAAATTGAGAACCTCTTTCTTTTAAAATCAGTTGAAAATTTGATTGAAATACTTAAGTGTAAATATGTCATAGATAAAACACACATGAAATATATAAATGAATTGAAATCCTTTTAAAGTCGTTAGAAAACGTTACAAAGTGGGGAAAAATATTCGAAATTATGAACAATTTATGTTAATTCATCTACGAAATAATTATTATTATAATTAATTATTATATTAATAAATTAATACGTCTACGAAATAAGAAACGAGTTCTAATTTTCTGAAAAATGTTTATGAAAAATTTACATTTCATTTAAACTTCCAAGACTTTAGGATATAAAGCTAGTCTTTATTATCCTTATGAATATCAAGACTACTCTGATCTGGTCCTAAAAATACCTTATTTATATTTGTTTTACCGTATTAATTCTTTTGTAGGTATATACCTCTATTTATATAATTAATATTACATTCGTATCGCGACGAGTATCATAAAATAATACTTTTAATGGATTATTATATATATATATATATATATATATATATATATATATATAGGTGCGAATTTTTAATGGCCCATTATAATGAACTTGTCTCGAATAGAACACAATGGTTTTCAGAGGACACCGCGAGGAGGTTGACCTGATCCTGATCTTCATCTATCATTATTTATGTCTTAAATTATAATAAAATAAACTTCTATATATCTAGTCTAGCTACAATTTTATTATATTAGTAATTACATTTACTATACACTCGATATACTATAATACAAATCGACTCAATCCTTGACGGCGCACATATGCATTGATTTTATTAAAATGACAAATGTCATTTATAAAAATTATATGTCATTCGAAAGCTGAAGAATTATGCTCTCATTTAACATACCCTAAAAAAACTTAAGCACTTATTTAATGATGCATTTTAATTGAGCATCAGGGAAAATTTGCTCCATAAGGTATCCACGAGTTGTGCTACCTGCCCCCGCTATAAAACCCGCCCATACATGGTTTACCTTATCAGTCGCTTATCACAAGTTGACCGGTACACATCTCAGTAATTTGCATTCCTTGTTTTCGTTAAACCATGGATACCATACCAGAAGAAGCCGCTCAAGTTGTTGCCTTGTTGCAACAAGGGTCAAGCCAGCGAGCAGTCGCTGCTCGGCTCCACTTGAACTTGTCTGCTGTATCCCGAGTATACAAACGGTTCCGAAAGAGACTGGTCCCTTCAATCGAAGACCAAGAACGAGCCGCCACCGGTGCACTTCAGAGAGAGATGACCGCTTCATTGTCTCAACCTCGCTGCGCAATCGACACCTTACGGGTGTTGATGTGCAGCAAGAACTGAGACGTGTACAAAGGGTGGCTGTAAGCGAATAGACGGTGAGAAGACACTTGAAGGAAGCCAAACTTGATGCCAAAAAGGCCTGCGACGGACCCCAAATTGACTGCAGACCACCGACAATCGCGCCTTCAATTTGCTCGAGAGCATCTCAATTGGAGCGTTGCGCATTGGCGGTCGGTACTGTTTACTGATGAATGCAGAATGTGTCTGCCTGGCAGTGACAGGAGAGGCCGAATTTACAGGCGTCCGGGGAAACGATTTTCCCAATGTTCTGCTGAAACAGTGGCGTATAGCGGCGGTTTCTACATGATGTGGGCTGTGGTATTTCCTTAGAGGGAAAAACTGAGCTTGTTTTCATGCCTGGGGGCGGCCAAGAGGCGGGCTAACAGCTGATTGGTACATCACCGAGATCCTACTCGATCATGTTGTGCCCTACGCAGGGTTTGCCGGCGAAGACTTCGTGTTAATGCACAACAATGCCCGCTATCACACGGCACGAGTCACTCGGCAGTTTCTTGAAGAGGTCGAATTGAGCACGATGGACTAGAAGAAGGTCTAAACCGAAAGAAGGTCAATTTGATCAAGAGCGCATAAAGATCGCTAATATCTATTAATGGTAAAATTCCATTTAATTATTACGTTATGTAACGTGGCTCCACTTCGTTTCTGTAAAATTGTTACGAGTAAAATTTTATTATCCTGTTTAAATTAAAAAACGCGATACACACAGCTGATTAGCGGGATCCTTGTTAATTGGCACATTAATAGACAGGAGACCATATATCTTCATGTGAAATGGGATCAGCCCTAACATTTGGCTTTACCGATTATAATTTACCAAATCGTATCGTTCGCAGACAGGAACTAAAATAATTCAAAATTAAAAGCTAATTTTAGTTCATTGTTCTCTTTATTCATAAAAAAGTTATCGTCACTATTATAATATCGATTGCATACCGAGTCAAATCCCATAAATAA